CTTGGGAGGAAAACATTCTTCACTGACTAGACAAGGCCACATCTGCTTCTGCCAATGAAGCCAGGGCAGCTGTGGTCAGCTGCGTGCGGCTCCTCTGAGCTGATCAGGATGGACTCCATTGTGACCTGAGGGACTGGACAGGTGGTGGACTCTTGAGAGGCCTGGCAGAAAGGACAGTGGTATTGATTTCCCACCCCGGGATGTTAGCTGAGTGGGCTGTGGCAAGGCAGGGTTGTTGAGGTCAACTCATCCATTATTGAGTCTTTCTTTGTGTGAGTGGATTGCCGATTGAGTGGAATGGCTGAAAGATTCCCTAACCTCCCCATTAAGTAGTGATTGGACAGTTGTTTTTTTCCACAGCCCAATAGACTACTAATCTGAATAATTTCACCAGAAAACATGGTTTTCCTTCTCACTCTTTCTTAGTGATCCTGGGGATAGACCTCTGTCATTAGAGTGAGGATTCCAGGAGCAATAAGAGGGTTTGTGAAAGGGTTGTTTATGTGGATAAATAAACACCAGGGTGCTGATGTCTCTCATGTCTATAATCCTAGCTACTGAGAAGACTGAGATCTGAGCATCTTAGTTCAAAGCCAGTTCAGGCAAGACACTGTGTGAGACTCTTAGGTCCAATTACCACCATAAAGCCACAGTGAAACTATGGATTAAGGTGTAGAATCCCAGCTTTGAGCAAAAAAGCAAATATACCCAGGCCCTGAGTTCAAGCCTCAGGACTTGAAGTCATGAGCGTGTGTGAGCACGAGTGCACACACACACACACACACACACACACACACACACACACACACACATTGGATTTTCATGCTAAAGTGGGGAAGGTCAGCCTTCTCTGTGTTAGATGGGTCATAGAGTCCCCAGTTTCCAAGACTCACAACTGTTGGGCAGAGCAGGGGCTCCTTAGCTGGAGCAAACACTGGGGACCTTTGAGCAGGGAGGGAGCTGTGTCAATGATCTATGGATTTAAGGAGTGTCTCATCTGCCTGCCAGAGCAGTCTGCCCCTTCCGGCAGCCTCCTTCCCCCCTTCCCCCGCCCCCAGTCCCAGCCCAGCCCAGCAGCCAGGATCCTGGAAGCTTGGACCCTCTTCAAGGAGTGTGGGATAGCCTCTATACTGTCTGTAACAAAGATACATCATCCCTTTGATAACTGGTCAGGCAGCCACTGCAGTCTTCCTGTCACTTTATTTATGAAATCTCTTTCTTTCCTCTCTCTCCTGTCCTTAAAAAGTTGGCTCTAGATAGTTTAGTCCCAGCCTAATTCCAGTCTTGAGCCTACCCCAACAATATTGCCTCTCCCACAGCAATAATACCTTGCAGGCTTCTCTGGCCCTGAATCAGAAAGGTGAGAGACCCAAGAGGTATGCGGTAAGGAAGGCAGCTTCCACCATTGGGATTGGAGATATCTATCCTGGTTCTTCTGGAGCTTCTTAGTTCAGGCCAGATGCTTCTGAGAAAACTGCCATGCACCCTGGGCTCAAGGCTAGAAAAGTCCTGCCTGGGACTATAGTGCAGGTTGCTCTGGGGCCTCCATTTAGGACTTGGAAGGACTGCCTCAGTCCAGAGGTAGCTTTAAGAGAATAGGCAAGAGCCACCAATATGCCAACCTGCCAAGGCTGTCCAGATGAAAAGACACCTAGGATCATTTCCTGTCTGCATCCTTCTATGGAGGTCAGAAGTGTCCATTCACCCTTCAGAGGACCTAATTAGTGCCTTTCTCTGCTCAGAGTGGAGGGCAAATATGGAGGGACAGACTTCTTTCTCTAAGGAGCTTGTCTAAAGACATCATTCTCCATCATTTACCATTTCCTTTCCCTTTACCAAACAGCATGTATGTATGGGAATGTAAAGACTACATTTCACTCTACTGCCAGGAAGATTTGTTTTTTTACTTTTTGTTGTTGTTGATATTAAGCGCACAAAGTAATGGTTTGTTGTTTTTTTGTGTGGTTATGGACTTGAACTCAGGACCCTGAGCTCTTTGCTCAAGGCTAGTGTTCTACCACTTTGAGCCACAGTACCACTTCCAGTTTTCTGGAGGTTAATAAGAGATAAGAATCTCCTACCCAGATTGGCTTTGAACCAAGATCCTCAGATCTCAGCCTCTGGAGTAGCTAGGATTACAGGCGTGGGTCACCAGTGCCCTGGCAACTAATGGGTTTTATTAAGATATACAGTCATATAATGCGCTTTGATCATATTCACCCCTTCTGTTATGCTTTCTTGCCCCTCCTTCACTTCCTGGAGGCCTGTTTTTACAATGAGGAAAACCAATTGTTTTTCACCATCATTTCCTTTCTCAGGCTCAAGCACCCCAAACCAGTCTCAGTCCAGCCAGTTCTGGGGCCCCTTTTGACCAACCGGGCATGGCAACTCTGCAAGCAAGCCAATGTGCAGGCTGGAACCCTTTCTCCTGGGCAGAACACAGTGACACAGCTGGAAAATGGGGACAATTAGCCAGTGGCTGACAGCCTGGACCATAAAAACTCAGGAAGCGGCCACCACAGAGCCCAGGGAATGGCTGTCCCTAATAAAGCAATTGTTTCAAAGAATGCTAGCATTCCAAAGACCCAGACTATATAGCACAGCCTGGGCTTCCAGAGCTCAAGCCTGGGAGGGGGGGCTCTAAGGAAATGGGTTGGAAAGGGGGACTGTGTCTCAGGAAGAGGAGAAAGATGTTTGCTGGATCGAAAGTTTGCCATGCCCGCCACGTGACCTCCCATATTACCATGCCACCAGACATTGAGCACCTCCCTTTTGTCTTTTCCTTATTGATTTGGGTCTCTTAATGGAGCTTGCAATTTATTTCCAATTTTATTTCCTGGGAGATGAGATGGTACTTAACTCTCCCCACCAGGTCCTTGGGGGGCTTATAGAAGAGCAACTAGGGTGCTCCTCACCTCTTGGTAGTAGTACAACTCCTTCCTTGACTCTTGCATCTCTAGACCACCCCCCCTCAATTCTTACTTACAAAACACAAAGGATCGAAGGCAGCAGACAGCCCTAGGTTAGTTCTGGTAATGCTTTGGTCTATCTGCATTGGGCAGCTTAGTGGGTGTCACCTTGTAAAATGAAGACCTGATGTCCCCAATCCTGAGAGATGTGCGATAAAGGATAAAGTGATCCAGAGATGACAGGATGAAGGGGATGGTGACTGACATGGAGAGACGTGCTTGTTAATCAGAATGTACAAGTGCAAGTGTCTAGTACACTGCTAACTCCCTTGGATTGTGTCATAAGCATGAGCAACAAAGTCAGGCTGCCCAGCTTGGGGTAAGGCATCTGGTATTCTCCTTTGTGAACATGGTGACTCAGACTGGGTCTCAAAGAGGAGGCACATGGTTAGTTTAGGCTTCCTCCCAGGACTGTGGAAATGGGTTTAAGCAGGAGGCTAATTTCACAGTCTGTGCTCCTGTGGGGTCGTTTCCAATCCTGGCTCCACCATTCCAATCCACACAATGGCACGGCCAATCCTGGACCCCTTGGCCACAGCTCTCCAAAACCCAAAAGCATTTTTTTCTTCAGCCTGTGCCCTTGCAGAACTTTACATGAGCAACTATTAATGCTAGTCCCCCGGTTGTCTTTTCATTCCTCGAGAGATGAAAAGCAAATTTCATTGAAGAACGTTCGACCCTGTAAAGGAGCAAGTGTTTTAAAAACATAGGTATGCTGGAAGACAAAAATCCCTATGAGCGCTATTAGAAATTCGACATTCTGTTTCCTTGATTTCTTTTAGGATTTACATCTAAGTATAATATGCATACAAGTGTAGCTCCCTGAATTGTCAAGCTGAACACAGCCTGTGTAGTGTAAGTAACTCCTAGCTGACAAGACACAAAGTGATCCACAGTCTAAGAACACCCCCCCCCCCCCCCCTGCAGCCTCTTCACCAATGCCTAGACTTCTATCACAAGCTTTTTTGGTTTTATCGTTAAGATTTTCTGTTCTTTTTTTTTCTCCTTTTTTTTTTCTTCATGAAATGCTTTCATTTTACTCAAATCCAGGTTGGAGGATAGATTCAGGGACGCAGCCTCAAGTTGGAGCGTCGTATATTTATTTATTTTTTCTCTGCCAAGGGAGAGTGATTTCCTTGGGCAAGCAATGAGATGAATAGCGGGGTCAGTTGTTTGGGGGGACGGCTGTCCTCCCGCCCCGAGCGCAGAGCGAGAAGCAATCGGCGCTGGTCTGAAGAGCTCCGGTCGTCACCTCCTGGGTTGGTCAGAAATGTCCTCATCAAAGCAATGGCTTTCTTCTTTTTCTCCCCCCCCAACCCCCCTCTCTTAGGGACCCAAGTTTCTTGACCGCCCCCTTCCCCTCGAATGCATACACAGAACAACTCGGGTCTCTTAGCCCAGATTCCCACCAAGATAGCTTTCTCTCCCCCCGCCAGGCTTTTGCAAGTCTCTTGATTTCATTCTTTGAACCTGTGATTGGAGGTTAAAGTGCACCCAGGTTGGTAGGAGGAAGCTCCTAACAATAAAGGTTTGAATATTTAGCTGAGATCAAGTCACTGCCTCCTCGCGAGCTCCCCTCCCCACCCCCTTATCTTTTAAAATGCAAATCGTGTTTCCAGAGGTTGTGCGCCGGTGCGCGCTGCGCCTCGACGTCTCCAGCTATTGGTGTCTGTGTCATTACTAATAGAGACTTGTAAACACTCGTTAATCACGTAAGGCCGCCAGCTCGGGGCTCCGCGCGGCAGCCTGTGGCGGGTCTTCCCCGCCTCTGCCGCGGAGTGGGAAGGAGGTGGGAGGAAAGAAGGAAGAAAGAGAGGGAGGGAGGAGGCAGGCCAGAGGGAGGGACCGCCTCGGAGGCAGAAGCGCAGCCAAGGAGCCAGCGGAGCACCGGCGGGCTGGGGTGCAGCCACCCTCCGCTTCTTGATTCCACCCCCCCCATTACATTCCTTCGCGTCCCCCCCACCCCGCCCCGATCTTCAGCGTGCGTCCCCAGGCAGCAATGGTGAAGTGTGTTGTCGGTCCCTCGCCACCATGTACGTGAGCTACCTCCTGGACAAGGACGTGAGCATGTACCCCAGCTCCGTGCGCCACTCTGGCGGCCTCAACCTGGCACCGCAGAACTTCGTCAGCCCCCCGCAGTACCCGGACTACGGTGGTTACCACGTGGCGGCCGCGGCCGCGGCGGCGGCCAACTTGGACAGCGCGCAGTCCCCAGGGCCATCCTGGCCGGCTGCGTACGGCGCCCCGCTCCGCGAGGACTGGAACGGCTACGCGCCGGGGGGCGCCGCGGCTGCAGCCAACGCGGTGGCCCACGGCCTCAATGGGGGCTCCCCGGCCGCAGCCATGGGCTACAGCAGCCCTGCCGATTACCATCCTCACCACCACCCGCACCATCACCCGCACCATCCGGCCGCCGCGCCCTCCTGCGCCTCGGGATTGCTGCAGTCGCTCAATCCCGGCCCTCCCGGGCCCGCCGCCCCAGCCGCCGCGGAACAACTGTCCCCCAGCGGCCAGCGGCGGAACCTTTGCGAGTGGATGCGGAAGCCAGCGCAACCGTCCCTCGGGAGCCAAGGTAAAAGCGGCGGCCGCGCCCCGCGGGAGGCCCCTGGGAAGTCTCCGAGCGGCCGCCCGCTGCCCGCAGCCACCGCTCACCGGGGCATCCCGGGCCGTCGGCGACCTCGGAGGCAGGAGGGGCGGGGCGCGGGGAGAGATTCAGGGGGCTCTGCTCATCCCCCCCCCCCCGGGGAGGCTTCACTGGTGATCGCTCCCATGAATGAACATGTGTGTGTGTGTGTGTGTGGGGTGTCTCACGCCCAGGCTCCTGAGGTTTAATGCCGAGGAAGGGCTTTCTCTTTCGCCACCTCCGGAACGCGTTGGGAAGTTCTCGGCTACGTCGGCGTAAGCGCTGCGGGCCTGGAGCGCATCACGTCCTCCCTCCGCCCGCACCCGTTGCGCAGCTTCGGGCGGCGGAGGAGAGGCAAGCGCCCCCCCCCCGCCCGCCCCCTGTCCCGAGGTCGTGTCTACACTGTCTTCCGAGCTCTCCTTCCCCATCTGAGCCGCCCCCCCCCAACAGCGGCGACCTGAAGGATGGGGTAGGGGGGTGGGGTGAGGCTGTGCTGGAGGCTAGTGAGGCCGTCGGAGCTTCTGGAAGGAAGGGATCGCGGCGGAAGGCAGCAGAGAAGCAGAGACATTGGGGAAAGCAGAGAGCCCGCCGGCGCGGAAGAGAAGGAGCTAAGGAAGGAGGGACTCCTGGAGGGTCCCAGCAGGTTTTGGTTTGTCAAGGAGGATGTTTTGTTTTTTCCTTGGCAAGCTAAAGCTAGAAGGCTGCGGCTGCGAGATCCAGAAGCCGCGGGAGAAGCTGCCGAGAAGGCAAGGGCAGGGAGAAGAAACTGCGAGTTCAGCTGCTTCTCCAGAGAGGGGTCATTTCTCTTGAACCTTCCTTTCAAAGATCCTGTGTGTGTGTGTGTGTGTGTGTGTGTGTGTGTGTGTGTCTGTCTGTCTGTGTCTCTGTGTGTTTGCAAGACTCTAGATGTTTCAGTGAAGACCCTAGGTTTGCCAGCCGCGGGCTCCAGCGCCCCTGGCATGGGATGTGTGTGGAGGTTGGAGGAACTGGGGTACAGGTACCCTAGGAGCGCCCTGTTGGGGTTCCCTTTTTCTATTCCATGAGGACGACTCCAGCCCTTAGTGCTCCCGCTTCGCTTGCTTTGCCCCTTGCTGGCCCACTCGGGCGGCGTGCAAGTTATGACCACTCTGCCGAGGTTTATAGCCAATTACAACCGTATAAATCAGAGCGCCGGTTGGGAGCTGTCTCTGGCCATGGGCATCTGCGTCACTGCGCACATGCCGGGAGCAGGCCCGGTGGGACCCGAAGGCCTCGGGTGGGTCTCCGAGCTTGGGTTGGGTCGTTTCCCCTACGAGGACAGCATCGCTGTCCCAGCCGGACTCGCTCGCTCCCAGCTCAAAGCGCCCCGAAACCTTCTCTCCACGCTGCCTGCCTAGGGCGCCCTTGGCAGGGGTTGGCCGGTGGCCTGGAGAAGACCTTTTGCGTGTCAGGGGAAAGTGGTGGCGGGGCCGGGGTCAGGTTGGGGGGGGAGGGGCTCGGAGCTGCCAGAGCCCCGGCCCCGGGGTCAGCAGATGAGAGGATGCTGTGAAGTCCCGCGCCGCCGGGGTGGCACGGCCGCCGTCGGAGCCCGGCGCCCTTGTGATGTTAATGTGCGGAGGCTGCCGGAGCCCGGCTCCTCTGCGGAGCGTCATCTGTCAGGGGGCGGGAGGAGGGTCCGCGGCCTGGCCCGCTTTGATATACACCTTCCCCAGCCCAGCCATTGTCTCTTTTTAGGGCCCCGGAAAGAGGGTGGTGACTTTCGCAGTCAATAATGAATTCTGACAAGTCCCTCTCATCCCTCCTTTCAGCCCCCCTCCTTGGTTCCCAGAGGGTGCGGGGCGCCTCCAAACTCCAAAAGAGGGAGGGCTTCAAGGCACCCCTAGGTCCCCCCTCCCGTCCCAGTACGTCTAAGATACTGAAAGGGCAGCACCCAAGTAAAGGCCGATCCAAAGCACCCCGAGGCGAGCACCTCTCTGGGGACGATCTGTCCTGCGCCTGCTTCTCAGGGTGCCTTCCACGAGTTCCACACACTCCTGTGGCCAGCTCTGGGCTCCATCCTAGACTGTCGGCAGGACCCAGGAACAGCAGCAAGTGGATTTCAGGGGGAAAGGTGTGGGTGATCTCGCTCACGGAGTAGAGAGCTCGGGGCGCGTCAGTTCTCCTCACTCTCTCGGCCAACCCGAGGTCGGAGCCCCAGCTCCATTCAAATGCGCCTGCCTGGCTGTGTTTATGTTAATGCGCCTGGTGGGGTGGGGGATGAAAGCCCTGGCCGCCATTTGCTCAGTAGTGGTAATTCAAACAGAATGCGGTTGTTATTAAGGCATTGAAAAGGGTTTTCTTTGATAAGATCGCCTTGTCCGGCATTGTTTGTGGCTGTGTTCCCCTTTCAGAGGCTGGCGGGGAGCGCCCTGTGATCCGGCCTGTGTCTTCCCAGGCCGCTTTTGTTGTGATTTGCAAAGGGTTTTTACCTGAACAAAGTCGGCCTGCCGGGCATTAAACACCTCCAGGCGACTCCCAACTTCCTCAGATCTTCCTGTGGGGGTGAGGATACTGGGGGGCTCTGGGCTACTCAACCTGTTCATCTATCTGCTGGACCACTCAAGACGTGGGACAGAGTCCCAGGAGAAAACACCTGCGGACACGGGGCTCGGCCAAGGGCTGACCTAGGACAGATCCCACAAGACCCAGGCTCGGCCTGCTCCAACAGCAACGATGCTATTTATTTGTCAAGGCCCTTCAATAAAACAATTAATCCAAGATTTAATAGTGTTCTTAATCACACGATCATAGGTCACTAGTCTGGATAGGTGTTTTTTGGTGCGTGTTTGTTTGAAGCCCAATTAAATGAAAAAAAAAAAATGAAAAGATGCCCCAGGCCTAAACTGATTCCCCAGGTTTTGGTTTTTGAATCCTCAAGCAGGAGGGATTTTGCACCTGTCAGCATAGAAAACACTGGAGGAATGTGGTGTGGAAGGAGGGGTAATTCTGGTGACTTGAGGGAACCCACACCCCTCTTGCCATTTGTAGTAAAACGCATAGAGTAGCCCCTCACACACACAACACACCCAGCTCCAGCTGTTCCTGCTAGGGTGGGCTGCCCTTCTACGTATTCCCGGGTCTCTAGTTACTATCCTTGTCCCCTGCCCCTGCTCTTAGTGCTAAATACATTCCGGTACTATATTTGGTTCATAGAAGAGGCCTATCTTCTCTATGTAAGAGGTTTTTGTTTTTTTTCTGAGTTCTTAAAAAAACACTTAGGTTAATTTAGTGGCCTCTATTTTAGCTTTCCTCCTTCTGTCTCCCTAGGTTCCGTGTGTGTGTGTGTGTGTGTGTGTGTGTGTGTGTGTGTTTGGGGTCTTGTCAGACTTAGCAGGAACCAGCCAAACCCTGGCCCCCCAGGGTGGTAGAGGAAGAGAAATGGCCTGTGGGTTAGGGAAGTTTGTCATTACCTATGACTGATGGGTTACTTTGTAGGTTTTTTTTTTTTTTTCTCAGCCCAAACTTCTTCCTCCACAGTGAAAACCAGGACGAAAGACAAATACCGAGTCGTGTACACAGACCACCAGCGGCTTGAACTGGAGAAGGAGTTTCACTACAGTCGCTACATTACCATCCGGAGGAAGGCTGAGCTGGCGGCCACACTGGGACTCTCTGAGAGGCAGGTGGGAATTGCCTTGCTCACCCCCCCTGGCTATGGCCTGGGGGAGGTCGAGAGGGAAGAATTAGGAAGTCAAGGGCAGGGTCCGCTTAATTCTGCGGGGCAAATGAACAGGAGAAGATTTGCCCCTTGAATATAACTTTCCTTTCCTTTCCTTCCCTTCCCTTCCTTTCTCTTCCCTTCCCTTCCCTCCCCCCATTCTGTGAGGAGGGGGAGCTGTTGGTACTGGGGCTTAAACTCCCAGATTCTGGCTCTCACTTGGCTTTTTCTGCTGAAGGCTGGAGCTCTACCACCTGAACCATAGCTCCACTCCTCTGGCTTTTTGCTGGTGAATTGGAGATAAGAGTCTGATACACTTTCCTCCCTAGACTGGCTTTGAACTGTGACCTTTAGATCTCAGTCTCCTGAGTAGCTGGGATCACAGGGGTACACTACCATTGCCTGGATAGTATGGTGCTTTTTTCTTCTTCTTCTTCTTCTTATGTTCCTTTACCTCTGATTGTCTTTACTGTTGTTACTGACTTTTTTTTCTATTTTGAAAGAATTGGGGAGGTGCTAGAAAAAGCTGAAAGTGTTGCTTTAATCCAGAATTCCAAGGAAGCCCTGTTAAAATAGATGCATTCTCTTAGTGCTCAGCAGGAAAAATAAGAGTGATAAAGGTCCAATCTTAACTCATTAAAAACAGAAGGCTAAAACTTGGCTCCTGAACACTCTATAGTGTAGGACAAAACAAGAGTAAATTCACGGGCTTGAAGCTCCACATTAAACCTGGTTTCTAGCTCCAAGGTGAGCAATATTGCTTTTCAGCGTAGCTGTGAGGGGCCAAAGGTTGTCAAAAGGAAGTGAAGCCAGCACTGAGCTCCTTCTGCTGCGGAGGGAGGAACTGGAGGACCTGGGACTCTTCTATACTTCCAGTAAAGGTTCCTTGGAAAGAACCTTCTGGAACAAGGAAGGAGTAAGATGATTCTCAGCTTGGAGATGCCCTAGAATTAGCTGTTAGAGAGATACCATTGAATACTTCTAAAAGAGTTGGGGGGGAGTGTCTTTCATTGGAAAGGAAGATGTGGGTACAACTGTCTTTTTATCTTTCATACTATTACCACCTTCTGTGTTGCCACTTCTAGGTTAAAATTTGGTTTCAGAACCGCAGAGCAAAAGAAAGGAAAATCAATAAGAAGAAATTACAGCAGCAGCAGCAGCCCCCACCACCTCCGCCACAGCCTCCCCAGCCGCAGCCCGGGCCCCTGAGAAGCATCCAGGAGCCACTGAGTCCAGTGTCTTCTCTACAAGGCTCAGTGTCTGGCCCTGTCCCTGGGGTTTTGGGGCCAACTGGGGGTGTGTTAAATCCCACTGTCACCCAGTGACGCCCAGTGATCTGCTGGGCAGAAGAGCAATTCCAGGCTGAGCCATGAAGTGCATGGACTTTGCTAGAATCTTCAGAAGAGACCCTTCCCCTCCCACCCACAAATGCACACCAATAAGCCTAGCTTGAAAACTGGACTAGGAGTAAAGACAAATGGGACTGGGGCCTCATGGGAAAGATACCCTCCAGAGTTTGTACTTTTTTTTTTTTTTTCCAGTCTGACTCTTGCTGCCAGGAGGGTACAGGAAGTGACCAGTAGAACTTGATTTGGTACTGGCAGAAGTGTTACCTAGGCTGCCTATAGGGACCAGGCTTTTAGTCTCCTCTTCTTCCCAGCTCTTCTCCAAAATCCACAGGTAGCACATCTGATTGGATCTGAGGAGATGGACTCCGGAACAGCAATACTTGGATCAAGATGGCTGTTTCCTGTTCACTGCCTTCCAGAGAGAACCAGCTGGCTCTCCTACCTCTGGGGCAGGCAGGATTTAAAAGGCAGAAGCCAGAGGCAGCTAGGCTAGGAAAGCTGCCTGTCCAAAGACTGAAGAACCCTCAGGTGGTCTGTGTCTTTCTTCTCTTTTCCCAGACCAGGAAAAGCTTGGCGTGTGTGTGTGTGTGTGTGTGTGTGTGTGTGTGTGTGTGTGTGTGTGTGTGTGTGTGTGTGTGTGTGTGTGTGTGGTGAGGGGAGGTTTGTGGACTCCAGGCCTGGCCTGACATGGAAGCCACCCTCCTAGGGGCTTGTTTAGAAAGCCTGTCACCAGAGCTCCTCTGGGCTGAATCTATGTCAGTGCTATAAATGCCAGAGCCAACCTGGACTTCCTGTCATTTTCACAATCTTGGGACTGACGGAGAAGGAGGTGGTGGTGGGGAGTGTTGTTGCTGCTGCTGTTTACCATTGATCTGTGTAACATCCAAACTGGTCTTTTAATAGCCTTCTGTCTGGATCCATGAGGGAAAGAAGGATATGGTGAAGGGAAGGGGGTGGGTGGGTGGGTGGGGAATTTGAACACAGTTGACTTTTTTTTCTAAAGAAGAAGAAAAATGAACGTTCCAGATTCTGTCATTTATCTTCAGATTTTTTTTTTACTAGAATTATCCCCCCCCCCACCTAAGAAATGGAAGTATCTTCTTTGCTTGTAAGCTAGAAGTAGAAAAAACGAGGAGACTAGAGAAGGTTATGTGGGCAGCCTCATTTTACACTCCCCCTCCCCCCTCCCCCCAGCCTCTGAAGCCTGAAGGGGCAGATTCTGAGACCTTCCCTTCCCTCTAGCCCGAGTCCCAGCCTGGAATTGTGGAATGTGTGGTTTTCCTAGAGGTGCCTCTGGGCGAAATGCACAACTGAGGGACTCAGCTGCCAAGAAATTGTAGGAGGTGGGGGGTCAATGAGCCTCATTACGGAGGCCCAGCAAAGGAGGCCTAGCAAAGAGCCTCATTAAGGAGGCCCATCAAACCCACCTGAGCAAAGCAAACTCTATCCCTGACCCCCTCCTTCCCACGTATGCCCCACAACTCAGTGAGTTCAACTCAGCTATGAGGTATAAAGTTCCTGTTTCTGCTTCCCGGAGACATTTCCCATACACGCAGTCCTCTGAATCACTGGGCATTTCCCCTAAAGCCCTGGCCTTCTGCCTGCACGCCTTTCCCTGTCTCGCGGGGACTCATCCCACCCCCCCAGGCCCGAGTTCAAGAATCGGTATAGTAAGATCCAAAGAGTGGGGTGGCTGGTTATTATCTGATTGCTAGGGACTGGGCTGCAGCGGGCAGAAGCAAAAGTCTGTCCTTCCATATGGGTGTTCCTAGCACAGCCCTAGCCCCTACCGAGCGCCTCCACCGTGGAAGGAGGCGCCTGGAGGGCTGCCGAGGACCCTGATCCGGCTGGGAGATTGCATGAGGCGTCCGGGTGCCCCGAGCCTCCTGCAGCACCGCCCCGATTCCGCCACGGCCCTTCCGGGTGGCGTCTGACGCCCGAGGATTGGGAAAGGCGCTCGGCTTCCGGGCCGCGCCCGCGGGCGCCTGGCTTCGGAGCGGGAGGGGAGGGTCGACGGCTGCCCGTCGAAGAGGGAAGCGGCGTGGGCGTCCGCTGGGCGGGGGCTCCCGGTTCAGGGCCAGGTGATCCCCGCGGCCCCCGCGGCCCCCGGGCGCCGCCAGAGGGAGCGAGGCCCCGCTCCCGGGCCGCGCCCACACGCCCGCCCCTAGCCACGGTTGCGGTTGCTATGCGTTGCTGTGAAACGCCTGTCAATAAACCCTGTTTGGACAGTGGAGCAAGAGCACAAGGGTTGTTTGCTTAGTGGTTAGAGGTTCAAAAGTCGGCATTGTCCCGCTGCAAGTGATTACAAGTTCTTCCCCTTCCCGGGGCTCGGGCCCCCACTGTGCGCGGGATCTGGGGGCCGGGGCGGGGGGCGCTCGCTGCTTTCTGAAATGCAAGCACCCGGCGCGCAGGCCCCGGGCCTCGGGGCGGGGAAGAAAAGGCGCAGAAACCTGGTGTTCCGGCTTTCACCACGTAGGCCACGGCACCTCCGAGCCAGATCTGTGCGCTCCAGAGCGATCCGGAGGAAACTCGCGACGGCGCGAGGGTGGCCGCGTAGCCTGTGCGCACGGAAGCCTAGAAGGGCGCCCGAGGTTACCTTCCAGGGGGTGACGTGATGGTTCCCAGGTCCCTCCTCCCTCCCTCCCCGAGTCTCCCATCCCCGGCTCGCACACCTGAAAGCGCCCGGTGATCAGCTCAGGACGCCAGGGGGCGCGCAAGCTCCGGGGCGCGTTGGCACTTCACACTCTTCCACCCAATACAATTCCCCGGGTGGGCTGAAAGCAAAGGAGTCAGGTGCCTGCCTTCGTCCCCGAGCTTTTGATGCTCAAAGCGAGCACTTTGCCACCTGAGTCACAGCTCCATTTCTGTTTTTTTTTTTCCTGGTTAATTGGAGATAAGAGTTTCACAGACTTGAGGCTGGGAAGGTGGCTCAATGGTAGAGCGCTTGCCTTGCATGCATGAGGCCCTGGGTTCGATTCCTCAGCACCACATAAGCAAAAAGAAAAAAGCCGGAAGTGGCGCTGTGGCTCAAGTGGTAGAGCGCTAGCCTTGAGCTGAAGAGCTGAGGGACAGCGCCCAGGCCCAGAGTTCAGGCCCCACGACCGGACACACACCCCCCCCCCAAAAAAAAAAAGAGTTTCACAGACTTTACTGCCTGGGCTGATTTCGAACCCATGGCCCGCAGATCTCAGCCTCCTGAGTCTCTAGGCTTATAGGCGCGAGTTGCTAGCTCCTGGCAAGAGAATGAATGAATTTGAAACAGCAACTCTCTCTCTCTCTCTCTCTCTCTCTCTCTCTCTCAGTCTTGTAGTTAATTGTGGCTACTCAGGAAAAAAGTGAAGACAGCAAGCAGAAATGAAAGAAATCTCGTCTACAGAATGTCAGGAAAGGGATATTAGGGCCATCATATATACATTTAAAATTAGAACTAGACTGCTGTTTTCAATCTCGACTGACCCTGGAGAACTTGGAGTCACCACTTTCCTATCTGTAATATGGGAGTCAGGTGAGGTAATCTTTGTCTAGGCATCTTGACAGCATACACAGAAGTTTAGATTCCAATAATGATTTAACTGCTGACTTTTATCACAACCCATCAAAACAAAGTGCTTCAGGGTCCTCATAAAACATCTTTGGACAAAACAAGTCCTCAAATCTTAGTAAGATAACCCTATCCCAGAACTTTGGTTTTTGAACATGTGTAGCTCTCTGCTTAGTTTGTCAAAATAACCTCAAGTCTGTGGTCTATTATTTCTACCCTTAGGTGTGTGCATGTGATTTTGAATGGCAAAGCACTCATTAACATTCCAGATGTGAAGACAAGTTCCTGACCTGAGTGCTTCCTTTCATCTGCCAGGAAAAAAAGTTTCCAAATACATTTAGTTTCTAGGAGAATCAAGCCTAGTTAAGAGTTTCTTTTTAGCCCCATAGAGCAGAAAGGCAGGCATTCTAATGTGATAATATTAAAATCAAAACACTTGGCATCTCCTTATCTACATATTCTCTTTGTACACATCCCAAGAGACTTTCTTGCTTTCATTCTCTAAAGCTGATTCTTCCCTACAAGCCATTGTAAGGCAAGCATTTTACTATAATGCTCAAGCTACAGCAGCAGATCTGGTGTTGTTAGTTTTATTTAGAAACAAATAATCTAGATTATGTGGATGACCTTGTAAATTTTTGGGGGGAGGGTCCGGTCGTGGAGCCTGAACTCTGGGCCTGGGCGCTGTCCCTCAGCTCTTCAGCTCAAGGCTAGCACTCTACCACTTGAGGCACAGCGTCACTTCCTGCTTTTTTTTTCTGCTTATGTGGTGCTGAGGAATCGAACCCAGGGCCTCAAGCACACAAGGCAAGCACTCTACCACTGAGCCACCTTCCCAGCCCAACCTTGTAAATATTTAAAACATTTATTTTTATAAATCATACCTAGCTTATATGAACTTCTGACCACCACAACTCATCTATTCATTTTTCCTTTCCCTTTTCTTCCTGCTTTTTTCTTTAACTAGGGCAAGATGATTATAGAAAGCCAAGCAGGCTATAGTGACTGCTGGGGGCTAGCTGAATGATACTGGACCACAATAATCGCTCAGTATATTCTTTCCTTAGCTAGGTGCCAATGGCTCATACCTGTAATCCTAGCTACTCAAAAGGATGAGATCTGAAGATTGCAGTTCAAAGCCAGCCTGGGCAGTAATTCCTGAGACTATTGTCTCCAATTAGCCACTAAAAACCAGCTGGAGTAAAGCTGTGGCTTAAGTGGAAGCGAACTAACGAGTAAAAAACAGCTCAGGGTCAGCACCCAGACCCTGAGTTCAAGCTCCTGTATTGGGAACAACAACAAAAGAAAACGTATTTCCCCTACTACGCATTGGAGAGGTGTGTGTGTGTGTGTGTGGGGGGGGGGGGGGTTCTATAGTGCCATTGTAGAAGGTTATACAATCAGATTTAGAAAAAGGCTCTCAAAGTCTAAATCA